ATTTTGTTAAAAATCGTGTTAAAATTTTGTTAAAAATGAGTGCAAAAACCTTTTACCGATATAGAGTACGTGCACTTTCCACAGCAACATCCGGCAGATTCAGACGAGTGATTTCTTTTAAAATTCCAGCTCTTGTAGGCGCTACTGGTAAACGAAGAAGATTCGACAGCAACCTAAAACAATCAATGACGAATTTCTAGCCATAGAGTGTGGAGACGAAATTCATTTTATGGATCCTTTATTTTTAAGCTTCCAACTAATTATCAGTCAAAATCTATCGAACACGAACAAAGATTTCAACAAAATCATTTGTCTTGCAATTCAGTATTAGCAATCAATTGCCTGAAGAGGAGAAAAAAAGATTGCGGCATTAAATGATCCACTCTTAAGTTTTAATTTTCCTATGAAGAAATCAAGTTGAACAAACAACTCGGATTCAATTGAAAAAAGTCCAAAATCAAGACGCTTCTGCAATACTAATTAAGAAAATCTTTTAATTTAAACAGAATTAAGTAAATCAACGTACAGAAATAACAGTATAAATGATGCACACTCAAAATTAAAACTATACCGAACTTAACTTCATGTACTTTTTTGTGAACAATCCTTGCATAAGAAAATGGAGCAAGAACAATCCTTCAAAAAATATGCTTTTGCATGCAAGCATATCATTCCGACTCAGTCCGAATCGTAATGAACTAATGCATGCTTCCAGTCCTTTTTTTTTCGTTAGAGGAAAAATAACCACTAAAAGTTAGGGACTGCAGAAACTTCAGCCAAAAACTAGATAAAATCCAGTAATCCCACATCTACCATCTACTGAATTCCTTTCCGGAAGAAACACGCATTGGATGCATTGGATTTGGCGTGTGGTTGCAGGAAATACAATGAAAATATTAGATAATCGCAGTCAAAAATACCGCATATTTGCAATGTGTTGTTCCTCAATATCCAGATGGCGCGTTAAATCAGACGGATTATCAGCTCCGTCCGGTATGGCAAGTGTTGCCAGAAGAACACGTGTTGCTTGATCCATTGCTTCTTCCATACTAAATGTTTTCTTCATATCTTTATAGATGATATATTTTTGAAGAAGAGCAGCTGCATGGAATAGTCTGTTACCAGCTTTCCAAAATACTAGTGCGAGCTGAAAAACAATTAACGATGAAACCAAGACCATTCCTTATGTTATGAATTGTTTATTGGTAAAAAAAAAAAAGTTGAGGGAACTGTATCATTTAACGGCGAAAACAGTGAAAGAATATCACTTTTTTAAATCACGCTAAATGAAATTATTTTGCACGCTTAGATGGATCGCCTCATTGTGAAGCAACGAGATGAAACGAGAACGTGCACCGAAATCTAATAATATCTCAACTAACTTCGAACCCAGTTACCATAGTGCCCGTTAGAATACAGACCAATAGACCATCAATCTACTTCTTGAAGACACAACGGAAAAGATTTTGAAATTTTTTAACNGATGCAGACTTTGG